ATATAATAAATAAAAGGCAGATAAATTTAATAGATAATAAACAAAATAACACTGAAAACACAGTAAAAATATAAACAAACAATAAATAATTTGCACTAACAGCACAGTACAGTGTCATAAATAAAAATATAAATTAAAATTATAACAAATTTCATTGATCCCAGAGGGACAATTTTTCCAGCTTGTCTCTTTTGTTAAAAGTTTTACAGCATTTTCAACTTCAGATTAAAAAATAACCAACAAAGAAAAGAAAGAGGAGGGATAAGGAAGAGAGATGTTTGATAGGGCAGAAGGAGCAAACCACACCCGAGGTGAGGTGGGGTGTGGTGAGGGGGATCGAGTGAGTGAGTGAGCGAGAATTTGAGGGAATGAGCAAACGAGTGAGTGAGTGAGTAAATGAGTGTGTGAGTTAACGAGTGAGAGAGTGAGTGAGTGAGTGAGTGAGAGAGAGTGAGAGAGAAAGAGAGAGTGAGAGAGAGAGAGAAAGAGAGAGAGAGAGACAGAGAGAGAGAGAGAGAGAGAGAGAGCGTAAGTGTGTGAGAAAATGAGTATGTGCGTAAATGAGTGAGAGAGTGAATGAGTGAGAGAATAAATGAGTGAGAGAATAAACAAGTGAGAGAATAAACGAGTGAGAGAGTAAACAAGTAGGACAACTAACCCGAGCTGACGTCACAGCTGTCTGAGTGACCGTTGCACTGACAGGGCACACAGCGAGCGAAGGGTCCTCCATTAGGCGTGTCGCGCTTGTAGCCCTGGCTACACGCCTCGCAGAACTGGCCGATGTGTCCCTCGCGACACACGCACGACTCCACCCACGTGGCCTCCGACCCCTGGTTGAAACCCTGGCGGGCCGTGCCAAGGTGGATGTTGTCAATGAATCCCACACCTAGGGACCGAGAGGGGGAAATGTGAGGAGGGGAGGAGAGGGGAGGGGAAGAGAGAAAAGGGAGGTATGGGGAGGAGAGACAAAGGAGGGATGAGGAGAGGGGAGGGGAAGGAGGTGGACAAGAGGAAGGGAGACAAGGGGAGGGGAGGGGAAGGGAGACAAAATTAAGGGGGAGGAAGAGAGACAAGGGGGAAGGGAGACATAGGGAGGGGAGGGGAGACAAAATTAAGGGGGGTGGGGAGACGAGGGGGGAGGAAGGGAGACAAGAGGAGGGGAGGGCAGGGGAGGCAAAGTTAGACTACACAGTAACTCTTATTTTTGTTTTTTTGTTTTAGTATGAGTTTTAGGGCACTTGCAACACAATTAGGTCACATAAGTGCCGAAGACTAGATGTGTTACAAGAGAGTAAACAAACATAAAAAAGAAGGTGGAGAGATAAAGACGATAGATACTTGATAGGAAAGATTGAGCAAACCATACCAGAGCACCCGCTAACCACCCACGGAAAGGAGAGGAGAGGGGACCCGAGGGGAGACAAAGGAAGGATGGAGAATAAGGTGGAGGGAGACAAAATTAAACTAGACGGTAACTCTTATTTTCCGTAAAGAGCTGGATCTTAAGAAGAGAGAAGCCCATTAACACAACAACAGCCATACAGTGCCGGGTAGAAACAAGACACAGATAGAAATGCTTCCCATTTTCTCTTTGACAATACGTACAGATAACTAACCAGTAAGGAGTTCCCTAAAAGCATACCAAACTCCCCCCACACACATGCACAACAGCAGATTCCCCCTGTGTCTAAGAGTATTCACATGCACACAAACCACATACACACACACGCACACAAACCACACACACACACAGGCGCACACAATTTCCGCTCTCACATAAACACACACACAATTTTCGCTCACTCATTCACACACACACACACACAATTTCTGCTCACTCACACACACACACACACACACACACCTACACGCACACACTCTCACCAACCCAAACACCTTCACAACAACACGTCACACACACCCACACAAATGTACACACTCCCACTCACACCCACACAAATGTACACACTCCCACTCACACCCACCCAAACACACCCACACACCTTCACAACATCACATCACACACACACACCCACACAAATGTACACACTCCCACTCACACCCACCCAAACACACCCACACACCTTCACAACATCACATCACACACACACACCCACACAAATGTACACACTCCCACTCACACCCACCCAAACAC